AAGATTTCACCTGAACTAGTAATTTCAGATATATGAAGTCCGGAATTTCGAAACAAAAAACAAACAAAACAAACCACAGTTATATGTTAAAAAATAGAAGATTTCACCCGAACTAGTAATTTCAGATATATGAAGTCCGGAATTTCGAAACAAAAAACAAACAAAACAAACCACAGTTATATGTTAAGAAGTTGAAGATTTCACCTGAACTAGTACTTTCAGATATATGAAGTCCGGAACTTTGAAACAAAAAACAAACAAAACAAACCACAGTTATATGTTAAGAAGTTGAAGATTTCACCTGAACTAGTACTTTCAGATATATGAAGTCCGGAACTTTGTTGTTTCCCGCCTATTACAGTTTCAATACTTCGCTCGTCTATTATTCGGAAAAGCGTGGCAGTACATTTTAACCTTATCTCCCCTTTCTGGAACTGATTTGCTCGTACTTTAAACTTCAGTCCCATCACAGTAGAGACGAGATTATCGGGATGCTGGCGTGGAGAATAGTGCACTAGATAACTGGGATCAACCTAGAATAAAATATACCAGATTTAAAAACATATTGTATTTTAACGATCTAAGATTTCAAATATTTGAAACTAATGTTCACAAACTTCATATCACTCTCCCTTAAGTTAATACTTCTTGGTGTCTGCTCGACATTAAAAACCAACAAATGTCTGTCATTATCTTCAGCGTCATAACATGCTCCCAGATTTCAAAATATCTGAATACTTGTTATAAAGTGGTGTAGGATTAACACAAGCCACAGTAACTTAACTATTTGTTATAAGATGAGGTAGGATTAACACAAGCCAGAATAACTTAACTATTTGTTACAAAGTGGTGTAGGATTAACACAAGCCACAGTAACTTAACTATTTGTTATAAGATGAGGTAGGATTAACACAAGCCAGAATAACTTAACTATTTGTTACAAAGTGGTGTAGAATTAACACAAGCCAGAATAACTTAACTATTTGTTATAAGATGAGGTAGGATTAACACAAGCCACAGTAACTTAACTATTTGTTATAAGATGAGGTAGGATTAACACAAGCCAGAATAACTTAACTATTTGTTACAAAGTGGTGTAGGATTAACACAAGCCACAGTAACTTAACTATTTGTTATAAGATGAGGTAGTGTTAACACAAGCCACAGTAACTTAACTATTTGTTATAAGATGAGGTAGGATTAACACAAGCCAGAATAACTTAACTATTTGTTACAAAGTGGTGTAGGATTAACACAAGCAATAATAACTTAACTAGTTGTTATAAAATAGTGTATAATTAACACAAGCCATAATAGCTTAATTAACTATTTCAAACAAGTTACAAATGTATTTTTTATTACTTTCTTTGAAGTTTAAGTGCAAAACGCAATCAAGAAACTTCGCTCATCTCACCCGTCCTCACGCTACTGTCAATATACGCAACTTCATTATTTCTTGCTTTCAGTAGGAGGAACTATGTTCTTGTATGTTATGAATACAAATAACAACGTTCTCTGTCTACCTTGAACACAAAGAACTGTGTTCTTGTATGTTATGAATACAAATAACCACGTTCTCTGTCTACCTTGAACACAAGGAACTATGTTCTTGTATGTTATGAATACAAATAACCACGTTCTCTGTCTACCTTGAACACAAAGAACTGTGTTCTTGTATGTTATGAATACAAATAACAACGTTCTCTGTCTACCTTGAACACAAGGAACTATGTTCTTGTATGTTATGAATACAAATAACTACATTGTCTGTCTACCTTGAACACAAAGAACTATGTTATTTTATGCTATGAATACAAATAACTACGTTGTCTGTCTACCTTGAACACAAGGAACTATGTTCTTACTTGCTTTAATACGACAAATTATGTTCTTGCACCAATAAAGCCAACTTTATAAAATAAACTTTTACAACAATTCACCAACAAAATTATACATCATAAAGAGAAATACGTGATTTTCATGTTTCTGTGTTATAATGACGGTGTTACGTACTATAAAAACAGCAGAGTGTATTGATTTAGTTACGCTGTACTTTTTTGTCGTTTTGTTTACCATGTCGCTCAAATGAGTACAAACGGTTTGGAGATAAAACCTTAGGCTAGTACAGCTACTGTTAATATAAAGGTAGCAGAATAGCAGAAAAGATGTTAAATAAACAAATACAATTAGTATTATCTATAGAAATCAATCAGATCAAAGAATTTAAATTACATTTGTTCGTTTCGTTATTTTTAGGTAAAACAACGACGTCAACAGGCATATAAATATACTTCAATAAATACTTACGTATGTACATATCAGTACATTACACCATATAGTACTGTACTCAACAAGAATGATGTTTATGTTCAGTATTTTTTTAATCTTTAAGATCAGTGCTGTTTTTTTCTACGATTATGTTTTAAGAAGAGAACTACAAAAAAACCATCGAAGATATGATATATACATAAATATATATCGATAGTTCCACCTGTAGTTTTCTGATGAAGAAACCTGTAAAATCATATACAGAAAAAAATCAAACGTATAAATCATTGTTACATAGTTATCGTTTCTTGAAATCCGGGAAGAATAAAGACCTCTAAGCACTACAATGTGACCTGATGATTAATTTACGTATAAAGACGGTGTCCGTGACGCAGTCCAGAAAGATCTGCCACACTTTATAAGTCGCAGTGACTTGTAATTCATTTTTATAATAATGTAAATGTAATTTACTATTTGACAAGAAAGATCAGTCAACGAAAGATTAGAATGTTCATAATATGTGAAATGTCAAAGCAATATTGTTGAAACTCATTAAGACTTTAAGTAACTTCAAAGTATTTGTTGGATATACGAAAGTCAGAATTATTGGGTTGGATTTTAAAAGATATTTCAAACGACTTTTGTAAAGAGATATATGATTAGCAATTACTTAATAAAGTTTAGTGTTAAATGATTTTGATTACAGAAAGAGCTTCGATTTGTTCAATTTCTAATACAGAAATTACAAATTTAATAATATTTAAAAAAACAACATTTATAGATAAACAGGTAACAAATGTAATTTTTTAAATTGCATGTTCACTTATACAGAATTAATCTTTAACATTGGACTCTAAGAACGATAAGAAATATAGTTTGTTTGTTTTTTATTTGGTTCGTTTCGACTATTCTGGATAGCGTTGTTCAGTCTGAAACCAAAGAAAGTCTGAAAGATTACTGGGATGAAATAATCATTTTTTTTCGTTCAGCTCTCCAGTTCCTTAAAGACGTAATACACAACCGTCACGAACTGTGAGTGGTATGGACATTTGAATTGTGTATTCAGTTGATGAGGCCCAAAAACAAAAGTTTCTAAAAAAAAGATGAAATCTCATTTTTAAAATAAAGGTACTGGCGTTTCCATGTCAACAGTTGCTTAAGTTGTTTTTTTTCAAAGAGTAATAAGATTTCTTTGTTACGAGAGGAAGGGAATATTGAATGCAGTTGAATTTTATCAGTCGTAATTTCTTCTCAGTCACATTGTGCTACTTTATTAATAAACCGACGTGTTGTGGTACAGTGAACGATATGATATTTCTTATTACTCACAGCCCATTAGTCTCGGTAGCAAAATTACAATCATCGACAGTTTAGGCTTAGCCTATATTTAGCAATAAAACTGTTGGTGTGAACGTGCTTCCTAGTCACCGTGAGAAAACCCTATGCGTTGGATAGGTGATGCAAAGAAAAGTATCGTCGGCCACTATTAAGTTCGTAATTTCACCTATCACGTGTATAGGTTTTTTCTCATAGCATCAACAGTATGCGTTGGATAGGTGATGCAAAGAAAAGTATCATCGGCCACTATTAAGTTCGTAATTTCGCCTATCACGTGTATAGGTTTTTCTCATAGCATCAACAGTATGCGTTGGATAGGTGATGCGAAGAAAAGTATCATCGGCCACTATTAAGTTCGTAATTTCACCTATCACGTGTATAGGTTTTTTCTCATAGCATCAACAGTATGTTTGATATTTTTAACTATGCTATAGGTCCAGCTTTTCTCTCCTTGGTTAACTCGTGTTCAGGGTTATTGATGAGGAATGGAATTCTCCGAAACTAGCATAACACACATCGATCTAAATGTAGATTGAACTGGACCTCCCTTGAACTTAGACTTCGAGATTAAACCATTTTCGGAATACGGAGTTTATTTATTATATTTAGCTACGACCGTTAATGGGTGAGTTAATTTCAAAATAACAAGGTCAGGAAACAAGGAGAGAAAACTAAGTCGTTCCAATAGCTAACACTGTATATCTGCTAACACTGTATATCTTCTAACACTGTATATCTGCTAACACTGTATATCTCCTAACACTGTATATCTGCTAACACTGTATATCTTCTAACACTGTATATCTGCTAACACTGTATATCTGCTAACACTGTATATCTGCCGACACTGTATATCTGCTAACACTGTATATCTGCTGACACTGTATATCTGCTAACACTGTATATCTTCTAACACTGTCTAGTCTGCTAACACTGTATATCTGCTAACACTGTATACACAAGCCCTGATGATGGTATCTCTATTACTGAAACTAGTCAGCTGTAACTAATAATAAATATTTCATATTTCATTATGCCAAAAAAAAGAAGTCGGGTTTGTGTTTTTTTACATTAATATTGCATCAGTTATTTGGGATAACTTTCTGAAAATCTACTACTACACACACAAACACACACACACACACACACACACATATATATATATATATATATATATTGTTATGAAGAAGGGCATTGTTTATCTATCCTAGATTTGCTATATGTCTGAGGTCTTACAACACTAAAAGTCTGGTTTCGATATCCATTGTGAAACTTCGTACTTAAAATAAACACATAATAATAGATACTTTAAATATAAAATACAATATTTAAATGTGCCACATATAACACTATTTGACTTCATTTGTCCAAATAAATAATGATTTTATAAGTGAAATTCTAATGTCCAGCCTGTTACGTTACCTCATTATCGTTAATGTACCACGATAGTTTAGCTGTACGTTTTGCCAAGGCTGAGGTACAGTTGACGTTCATCATATCACCGACCTGGTAACGAGGCTGCAGTCCACCGTCGATGGTCGGTCCGTTGGGAGCTATAGACGAGAAGAGATAAGATGGTATTAGACTTCTAATCACACTAAGGAAACCTATTCTTGGACAATGGTCAAATAAAAAAAATATATCAAGGTCTTGGGCTACAGATCGCGATATGTCTGACTTAAGTACAGATCGACTTTGTTCCCGGGGTCTAACCATTAACAGAGTTTTCTTCAATAAAGTGTTTTACGACTCATTTGTAGCTAAACTAGTGCATTTTTAGCGTTCAGCATTATTGTCGTTTACTTGCAATAAAAAACAGGTACTTAAGATCATCATTCGTAAGAGAACGTTTTTTACTAGACAGTTGAAGCGGTTCTTCTTGAAATAAGTAAATGCCCTATCACGACTAACTTCAATGTATTTAATGATCACGATTAAAACATGTTGATTATTAGTCGTCTATTCAAAACCCCTTTCCTGAGGCTCCATATGTAATGTTATTGTCATTCTTAGGAATGTTATATGAAAAAAAAAATATGATAATCAACCAAAACTATTATGTTATTTATCCAGATTAAAGACTAATTAAAGATTAAGTTCATGCAATTGAAATTCAACAAGAGAACGGAAAAGGTTGTTAGAATGTGTTTCTTTGTTTCACATGCTTGCGTTTTATTGTTATGAAAAGGGATGCTTAGCATATTTGTATATGGTTTTTCACAATACTGTTAAACATGCACATCAAGAAACTCCAACAGCTATATTAAATGAAATAGCCGTAGGCATACATTAATTAAACAATTTATATATATAATACTTAGTTTACAACGCCCCACATACGGCCGTAATTACTACAAGCACTACATTCGCCACCAGAAGGAACTTATATATATATTGCTTAGTTTACAACGCCCCACATACGGCCGTAATTACTACAAGCAGTACGTTCGCCACCAGAAGGAACTTTAAATTAGTATTCTTTTTTTTTTACATAATTTGTGCATCCGGTTTTATGTTTCCGTGGTGGTTTCTACTTTCCTTATCACACATAGAAATAAAAACAATAACAGAAGTCAAGTATCTAGTGCAGGGTAATATTTTACATTTACGATGTCTGAATAATGGGCTCTAATTTGTTGAAAGTTGAGCTACTCTAAAAATCAGAAGTAAAGGCATTCCACATATCACTCTAACTGTTCAATTGAAAAAATGCTAAAAAATGCATCTAGTCAACATTATAGTGGAGAAGGTGGCTTAAGGTCATCTGTATAGTACTTGAAAATACGCTGCAGCTGTAATATTGGTGTATGTTTTAGTGACATGAATAAACTTCAAATACGTAATAAAATGATGTGTATTATACACTAGTGGCAGCATTACGTACGATATAATCAGATACATAACTGACAACTAATCTCCCTCATTCTGTAATATTGGTGTATGTTTTAGTGACATGAATAAACTTCAAATACGTAATAAAATGATGTGTATTATACACTAGTGGCAGCATTACGTACGATATAATCAGATACATAACTGACAACTAATCTCCCTCATTCTGTAATATTTATCGTCACCACAAAAGATGGACGGAGGTCATTTTTTTCACCATTGTTTGTTTGTTAGCAAGATTTCTCGAACACGACTAAATGGACTTGGACGAAAGTTGGTATGTGTTTGGACTATGACCAAACATAGAAATGATTAGTTTTTAGAGAGTCGAGGTCATAAAGTTCCAAAAAATTCCTATCTATTAACATGGGAACCGATTTTTAAAATTATTTTTGCCCTATGACTCAGTCAAAACTGATTGGATTTGGACGAAACTTGGTGGACATATTTAGAATATTATTCCTCATTGTTCTGCCAAGAATTGTCCATGTTCGTTAATAACAGCGGACATACAGACATATTTTTCAGTTTTTGGAGAGTCAAATATGATCAACGCTGCGTAGCGGGGATATGCGCTCTTCTGAGTGTCCCTCTAGTTTCAACTACAGTTGACCCAATACTAAGTGCTACGGTAAGTCCCTTTTAACAGGTGTTCAGTGATGTAGTTATGACGAAACTGATTCTAATCGAAACAAACCCAAGTCCTCAGGTTAAGCTGGTTGACAGTTTGGTATTATATTTTTATACATACTCTAAAAACATAAACATATTGTAATAACCAATCTAGTGGATAAGACTGGCTTTAGTTGCTTATGAAACAAATCCACTATGTTAGATAATCTACACTACTATTAAATACCATATCAAAAACTGGTAAATATGGATTTGAAAACAAAACAAATTCTTATTGAAATAACGTCAATTTATTTTTCTTGCAGTCACCGCTATCATGCAATCAATTTTCTGTGATACCATGTAGAAAACAACACCAAAACCCAACGGAATTCACTATAAATGTTAGAAAAAGCATTTTTCACGCCAGTCTTAGAAATTACTCAAAATATCTAGGTAAACAAGAGTCTTACTTGTGAAGTATCCAGAGGGCCTGACACTGTTTCCCACAATGACCTCTTCAGTCGTGATAGAGTACGCTTGAGATATGGACGCTAAACACCTTAGCTTCAGCTCCCCGAGTTGAAGATGAGATGACGTGAGGGTTAAATATAACCCTAGACGCGAGCTCATGAGGTCATTTGTATATTTTATCATCGGAGGATGCCACACATAAGACGAAGGGCTCTGTTAAAAGAAATGTCAAAAATCACCACCTTCCTCTTGTGGTACGATCTTTAAGTGAGCATGTTGACTGGTACGATCTTTAAGTGAGCATGTTGACGTTCTGTTATACTGTTTAAACAGAGAACTGGCTTTTGTTTTTCAAACCGAAATAAGTGCATGCTTGTAGTCATACATAGCCATTGTCTGGACATTGTATTTGTTCGATCGAGTTTTAAACGATTAATAACTGTGAAACTATCATAATTCCTGTTCAGTAGCGCCACATGGGTGAAAACAGAATAATATGTCATTTCCAATGATTTGACAGCAAGTTCGTATCACTCGATCTTATACATTAGATCTGAAAACCCAGTCGTTAGCTTTCAATATATATTACGCTTCGTTAGGCTAATAATTTCTTTTGGTATTCTAAGAACCTTTCCCGAAAGTACCCACCTGAGCTCAATAGTAGCCTTAGCAGCTTATAACACTAAAATTCAAGGGTCGATTCAGTAAGCCCAACAAAAATAGCATATTGTGCAGCTTTTTGCTTAACTACAAACAAGAAAACTTTTCCTAGGATTATTATTAATATCTATACAAATGTGTGTGTGTGTGTGTGTATAGGTAGAGCGATATGATTACTTGATTTATGGTATCATTACATCCTGTTTCCCAGTGATAACGGCAGCTTGAAAAGGACGATTAGCGCTCTTTGTTTGTCTTCTACTTCTACAACTTCGGAGCAATTAAAAATTGATGTAACTATCATAGTTTGTATTGAAAGAAATGGAACACCTTCGTGTTGAAAATTGAAAGTAATTCTTAAAATTACCGCCATACAGTCACAGTTCTTTTCACATCTCTTCTGATTCATTACATTGAGTATTCTAGCACTGCTGAATGAATAACGAAATACGAATTAGTGTTACCAGGAAGAACATATCAACAGGCTCATAGAGTTAACATGTGGATTTCTCTTCAGAATGTTTGTGATTTTGGCCCTTTATGAACATGTACGTCTGATACAGGTTGTTTTTTAAACATAAAATGTGGTACGTTTCGTATGTATTTTTAATAGTTTCTACAACTGCATGTTTGGAGTGAAGGCTTTGTTAGATTATGTAGCTCATATAAACTATGTTGAAATATATAGTGTTATATATAACTAGTGTGGCTTAGTGGTTAAGGTGTCGAGCTGAGGATTGAAGGGTCCAAGGGTAAAGCCCCTGTAGCGTGTGTTGATTGTTTGTCAGAAATAGTTATATTTAAACCCTCGTGTTCTCACTTGTGAATTTGGTGTCGTTGATTTTAAAAATAAAATTTCCAATATTTCCTACATAAGATCAAAATGTTTCTGTGTTTGTTTGTTGTTAAGCACGAAGCAACACAATGGGCTATCTGTGCTGTGCCCATCACGAGTATCGAAACCCTGTATTCGGGCTTATTAGTCTCGATAATTCTGTGCCACTATTCTGCGTAAACAAGCCTCTATTTCCTATACTAGTTTTAATAATAACGAGTTAAGACCCACAAAAACCCAATAATTGAAAATATACCAGCATTACGTATACATCCCATTGAAATACGTAGCAAAATCCAATTTCAAGTCAATGAGGCCAACAGAAACAAAATGTCGAATGTTTACATTTTGTTCATACAAGTAGCTATTGTCTACAAAAGTTTTTTGTAGATCAAATTTGAATATTATTATTTCAATTTCTAGAAAGAAAGAACCCTTCACGTGATAAAAAGTAAAAACATGAACTGTCGCAATGTCCTCGTCATTTATCTTCATGCAAATTCACAGTTTCAAGTCCCAGCCCTAAGTTTTTAACAGAAAGCAATAAACAAAATCATCTTCCTATGGTACTTTACGACAAATAGCAATAGGAAAATAGCAAAGCAATACAAGTAGAATAAAGAGGGGGTCAAAGGTCAAGAAACAAATGAAATGATAACTGTGCATTTGATATAGTATTGTATGTTATGAAGGAGAACTTCTGAATAAAATAAAAAAATAATTTATAAAAACATATCTGCTATATTCAGTCCAATACTAGGGTTCTTCAGGCCAATTGGGATACAAAATATTTAGTAGTGAATTAGACCTATTTATATAATGAAGTTGCTCGATAACAGCTATTGAGGTGCAAAAACAGGATTAATTGACCAGAATCTAATTTTTCACCAATATTCATTCATACTACAACACTATATAATTTATATATTTTTAATACCCTAATTTTATTAATTATTATTGGCTTGATTTTTTTTTTTTACCCAACACCCTCTCTCGACAAAATATATGCGTCAGCGATTTCTTTCCTTTTGACCATGTTAGCCTGAGAGTGATGTCAAGTATTTCCATTTTCTTGTGTATTTCAAGGAAAGTATTTCCATTTTCTTGTGTATTTAAAAAATGTACTACTTGTTGTGACTCTTTGTCCCTAATTTTGACAGTCTTTTTTTAACTTAATAAACTGTGTTACATTGACGCCTGAAAAGGAGATTGTTCGACGGATTATAGTGCAGTAAGACCGAAACTCAACTTAACAAAAGATGGAATCTATAACAGAGATGGTAAAATATGATACCTTTCAATTTTCACAATGTACCTACACCAAGTTGTAGTGAATTCTACAGTAGATATATCAATATATTTAAATATCCAGTAAAATTTACTACATAGAGTAAATACAAGTTTGTTAACCGACATTAGGACAAATAATAAAGGTTTTTTTAGCTTTTAGTTTTCTTCAAAAATGTCAACTAGGGCTTGATAATTATTAATAGTAACGTAAAACATTTCACTAGTAATATATCTATATCTTTAGTCAGTAAAATAAAATATTTCACTAGTATATATGTATCTTTAGTAAGTAACAGAAAATATTTCACTAGTATATCTATATCTTAAGTAAGTAAAATAAAATATTTCACTAGTATATCTGTATCTTTAGTAAGTAAAATAAAATATTTCACTAGTATATCTGTATCTTTAGTAAGTAAAATAAAATATTTCACTAGTATATCTGTATCTTTAGTAAGTAAAATAAAATATTTCACTAGTATATCTGTATCTTTAGTAAGTAAAATAAAATATTTCACTAGTATATCTGTATCTTTAGTAAATAAAATAAAATATTTCACTAGTATATCTCTATATTTAGTAAATAACATAAAATGCTTCATTAGTATATCTGTACATTTAGTAAGTAACATAAAATACTTCACTACTAGTATATATGTACATTTAGTAAGTAACATAAAATATTTCACTAGTATATCTGTACATTTAGTAAGTAACATAAAATATTTCACTAGTATATCTGCACAATTAGTAAGTAAATTCTAAAAGATAAGATAATGTGTTGCTCTCAACTTTCAAAACCCGTGGAAGATTTTAATGCAAGTATGTTACTAAATATTCCAATAAACAATTTAGTTGCATTTCGATTTTGCGTGTATTTAGTTAACTTTGATGAAACTATTTATTTTTTTTTGTAGCTTGCATTATACCGAAGTTCAACATTGAAATAAAAATAGGCTATTAATTTTGAAATATAGACTGTCTTAATGAGTTAAATATGTTACTACATTATTTTTATTCTGTGGCCTAATTGAGTAGGAATAAATATAGATTAAATACGTTAAACAATCAGATGTTCGTACACTGTAATGGGCGGGAGGTAGTATTTTTGCTAATTCTGAATTAGTTGAAATGAGGTATATGAACTTCTAACTGACAAATAGTTGAAATGAGAAACAATGATATGTTGTTTAATGTTTATATTATAACGAAACGGAAGTGAATATTTTTGTTGCTGTTGATGAGTTTCGCATAAACAGTTTTTTTAATTTACTTAACTAGTTTGTAATCTATATTTTTAATAAGAGTTTTTGAAAAGTTAATGTTATAACTTATATGAATAAAATTCTATAGGAAAATGTAATTCAGGATTGCGTGCACTCTGCTCGTCTCTTTTTCCAGTTCTTGAAGTTAATGAAAAGATGTAAAGCATCATTTCAACTCACTATTTCAGAAACTCTTGAGAGTAAAACACAAAATATTTAAATGAAAATATTATAACTAGGATTTCATGGAGTTAATTAACTTTGGCATTAATTCATTATTACCTGCACTTTCCTGTATAGTATCACTTTGCTAGAGACTGTGTCTATGTGTATGTGAGTGACAAAGCTGTGAAGTGTCAAATTTTCCTTATCACAAGTAGAAAATTCTCTACAGACGTATATTGTTTTCGCAGTGATGAAATTTCATTTAATTCTTCATTTCCAAATCATGTAGTTCCATTAATAAAACTCATTAATTACACCAAAGAGAATTTCAAACAAGCAATATTAGAGCTTCATCATCAACTTCATCATCAGGTTTTGCAAGGCAACTTATTAAAAATTGCGTTTTCAGTTAATATTTGGCATTGCGAATAAAAATAAAACATCGTGTCTGGGTCGGACATGCTGTTGTCGTTAACGTGTCGGATTTTGGACGTAAATATCTAAGGCTTGACCACGATATGGTGAGACAGTAAATCCCCTTATGTATTTAACAGTAGCTATATAAGTGTCTTAATATTGATCAAGAGGAATTAACCTTCAGACCATTTATTGGAAAAGCCTTAAAAGCTAGTTAGATAAATCATATATTTATTTTATATTACCAAGAACACAATATAGTTGATTCTATAAGCAGGATGTGACGTCAGCTATTTCATTAATTATGTGGGTTGGGAGTGAATGGCTCGACATGTCTGCAGTTAGTGTTTTCAAACGTGCTGTTAAAACTTTAGCATATTAGACCTCGTGGGACTTATTAATCGGTATAAACGAAAAACTGGGTACTTAATTATCTTCAACTCATTTTACTTTATCATCTCACTTCAAAACTTTATCTTATACCACTTCAACTCATTTTACTTTATCATCATACTTCAAACCTGATCTTATACCACTTCAACTCATTTTAATTTATCACCATACTTCAAAACCTGATCTTATACCACTAACTCATTTTACTTTATCATCATACTTCAAAACCTGATCTTATTCAACTCCAACTCATTTTACTTTATCACCATACTTTAAAACATGATCTTATTCAGCTTCAACTCATTTTACTTTATCCTCATACTTCAAAACCTGATCTTATACCACCCTCAACTCATTTTACTTTATCATCATACTTCAAACCTGATCTTATACCACTTCAACTCATTTTACTTTATCATCATACTTCAAAACCTGATCTTATTCCACTTCAACTCATTTTACTTTATCATCATACTTCAAAACCCGATCTTATACCACTTCAACTCATTTTACTTTATCATCATACTTCAAAACATGATCTTATTCAACTTCAACTCATTTTACTTTATCCTCATACTTCAAAACCTGATCTTATACCACCCTCAACTCATTTTACTTTATCGTCATACTTCAAAACCTGATTTTTTCCACTTCAACTCATTTTACTGTATCATCATACTTCAAAACCCGATCTTATACCACTAACTCATTTTAATTTATCATCATACTTCAAAACCTGATCTTATTCAACTTCAACTTATTTTACTTGATCATCATACCTCAAAACCTGATCTTATTCCACTTCAACTCATTTTACTTGATCATCATACTTCAAAACCCGATCTTATACCACCAACTCATTTTAATTTATCATCATTCTTCAAAACCTGACCTTATTCCATTTCAACTCATTTTACTATCACCATACTTCAAAACCTGATCTTATACCACTAACTCATTTTACTTTATCATCATACTTCAAAACATGATCTTATACCACTTCAACTCATTTTACTTTATCCTCATACTTCAAAACCTGATCACCACCCTCAACTCATTTTACTTGATCATCATACTTCAAAACCCGATCTTATACCACTAACTCATTTTAATTTATCATCATACTTCAAAACCTGATCTTATTCCACTTCAACTCATTTTACTTTATCACCATACTTCAAACCTGATCCTATACCACTTCAACTCATTTTACTTTATCATCATACTTCAAAACCTGATCTTATACCACTTCAACTCATTTTTGGTGCCTTATCATTTTGTTGGAAAGAAAGAGCGATTGTCGTTTGTCTGGTGTTTTTTTTTTAAAGGAAACCAAGCCCTACAAGTATTTATAGTGTTCACTGCAATTTCAATTTGATTTGAATGAAATCACGAATTTATACAAACAAATAAAACGTTAGAAAACCAACTTTATCGAATTGGAAAAAAGGAGCTCAGTGCACCAAACAAGTCATCCTAATAATGCTACGTTTCCATAACATTGTGCCAAATACTTCATCTTCGGTATTAAAAAGTCGACACACAATCCATCCTCCACGAGTCGCAAAGATTTAATGAAACTATTCGAACATTTCAAAGCGTGTTATAATGCAGGTGCCTTTTCCTTGAATTAGGTTTGTTGGTTCGTTTATTGTAATCAGACCTAATTATTACGAGCAAATGGTAGTGAGATCAAGCAGATGCCCCGAGAACAGCACTATCTGTGAAACAAGGGAAAGTAATTCGATTATGCACTTTAGATTACAAGCTTATGAGGAGACGTTTGAAAACAATATTGTTTGGATGCTCTTTTGATATCACTCAAAATTAAGGTGGTAAGGTAGTTCTGAAAGTTCGAATATGAACCACGAATCACATTATATATTGTTAATAACGTCCTAACAAAAGTAGGTTAATTCTAACCATCAGAACCAAAATGTTACTTATAACTAAATCTGTGAAGGTAATTCTAGATAACTGCTGATTAGAATAATTAATTTTATTACTAATACACTAAAAAATTAATTTTACTACTAATACATTAAAAAAATTAATTTTATTACTAATACACTAAAAAGTTAATTTTATTATTAATACACTAAAAAATAATTATATTACTAATACACTTAAAAAATAATTTTGTTATTAATACACTAAAAATTAATTATATTACTAACACACTAAAAATTAATTATATTACTAACACACTAAAAAATTGATTTTATTACTAATACACTAAAAAATTAATTTTATTACTAATACACTAAAAATTAATTTTATTACTAATACACTAAAAAATTGATTTTATTAATAATACACTAAAAATTAATTTTATTACTAACACACTAAAAAATTGATTTTATTACTAATACACTAAAAATTAATTTTATTAGTAATACACTAAAAAATTAATTTTATTACTAATACACTAAAAACAAGGTTTATAGTGATTTGAACCATCAGTTCGATACCCTCGCTGTTAATGATAGTTTCAGCCAAAATTCCAAGTGAGAAAAGGAGCAATATTTGAATCTACAATTCATATATTAAACTATAGAATATAAAATAATCCCATTAATTAAAAAATAAAATGTACAACATTTTATTTCAAACGTTATAACCAACAATATTAATTATTCTAGCTGTAAACAAAAATAAAGTCCGCCATTAGTTATAAATCACACAAAAAAATCACCAGCCAATACTTGTGAATTGAAAATAGTTTTTATCATTCAAGTGCTTGCAGCAAAAGGCGATCCAAGTTAGTTAAAACAATAAAAACTGAATACATAAATAAATGATGAATAGTAACCTATCAGAAAAAAAAAATGTACATAAAGTTTCTATGTCATCACTGAAACTTCCATATTTTTGTTTTTATATTTTTGGTTGCTGTCATCATCTCGTTTCCAAAGTTAGAAGAAGCTACAAAGATATGGAGTACTCACACGCTAGAAAATAATTCCCTCAGAGAAGAACGAGTTAAATAATATATACAAAGACTAATCTCATAGTTCGAGTAAATAAATTGCATGTCAAAGTAATAAACCTTTCTTACAAATTTGCTAGAGATTGATCGTTCGTATTTTTTATCTCTAGTGAGCAAATGTGGCAACTTATGAAGTTGTAATAATTTAAAAAATTAGAAAACAAAACATGCTCTGTCTCCAAATAGAAAATATTAAAAATTTATTAAGGAATACCAGATAACACAAGAAGTGATTCAGTACATAAGGAACACGTTGTGATTTTAACATCAACCAGAATTACAGTCTTACCTCTTCTTCGTTAAGAAACCATCTCAGCGAAGCTGCTGGTTTGGAGGCCTGTGCTGTACATGTTACGTTGACTTCGTTTCCAACTTCGAATTTTGCATTTGTTCCCAAAATAGTAGGTTTCCCTGCTGGTAGAACTGGAGACAAACTTCAAATGAAACTTCAAAATTCAATATGAATATTTTTTTGTATTTAAGTTTCATGGTTTCCTGGTAAATATTTTCTTGAACAAAAAAAAGTGAAACCTTATAATGCTTTTTTTTTTTCAAATCTAGCAATGTGTTCTAAATGTGAACTTCATATCTCATAGTTTTCCGAATGCTTCTAATAGTTGAGTGGAGTTTTAAGTCAAAACAGAATATTAAAAGATGTTATAAAACAGAATCTTTCTTGAGTTGTGTTTAATTTCGGGGAGGGAACTATGATAAATACTGCACTGATGTATGTTTTCGCTCATGGCATTTGCTTTGCAGTTATTTCTTGTTTCCGGTGCAAGCTATGTTGGTATGGCTACGTAATGTTCCCTATTGCACATACTAACCACGTAACTAACTTTCAATTGTTAGGTTTCTGATGAATTTCGGTTTCAACGTCGAATGTAGTATAAGAAACTGCAAACAGAATTAATCTGTATTTTGTGTTTGTTCTTGAAATACGTCACATGGTATCTCTTAGCTTTTTAACTGTACTTGATTGATGGCTGTACTCAAGTGACACTGATTCAATCTATTACTCCACTCTTTCTAAACGCCACATCGAATCAACGAAAACACAAACATTAATTTTTCTCTGGGTTAAACTCCCAATTCATTTTATAGTTACAGTTCGATACCCTTTGTCTTGATGTGAGCTTTCGACTCAGAACGTAATTACCCTACCCTTCTTTCTTTTTTCATCCATAAATCCTGACAGTGTTCGAACACGTTTCAGCTAGAATAGCAGCCAAGCGATCTATTTGTCATTTTGCCAATTATTCCTCGAAACCCATATTTTTTAGAATAAATGTAATCTCTTATTTTTTCTATTACGTACACAATATAAAATTCCTCATTTTTCAAGATTCTAGCCACCAATCAAGACTGCGTTTTCACCGTAGGCTCTTGTTTTGTTTTATAAAATTTAACTTTCCTGCATGCACTCACGTGTTATTGAAAAAAAAAAAGAAAGATAACCCGAGCGCTTTTAAAAGCTGAACCATCTTTCTTCAACATTGAAAAAAATTCTTGTACGTTCTTAAGTAAATATTTATTCGTCCGTGTACATGATATTTTAAAGATGTGTATGTTTATACATGAGAAACGTACAGATACTAGAACATCCCTGATGTAATTATCTTTTGCTCTACAAATTTTATCACGAAATAAATATCGAAGACCTAGTGCTTACCCTCTTTAAAATTTAAATATGTTTTTTTAATGCTCCGGTATAATGAAAAGAAACTTGAATTGATTATCGAATTATTAAGTTACAAAAACAACGAAATATAAACATGTAAATGATCTCTTTCAAACAGCCCAAGGCTATAGCAGAATTGATATACTTAAGGACGAAATATTTATTTTATTTTACTTTTAGCGATGACAAGTTCGAACTCACGTTAAGTCAGTGAAACTTGAACGACACTGAGTCAGTGAAATATAAGCAAATGTAATACTGTAAAATATAGCTAATTCGCGTGATTTTGATGTCAACCTTGGTACAGGACGAAGGAAGGCATACATGTTTCATTCTCTACCTGTTGATCGTTGATATATTTTATTGAGTTCATGTTGTTCAAAAGTTTATTATAAAAGCAGAAGTTACCTAAAACACTATAAAACAGAAATGTCAGCTGATCAGTATGATTACAGTTTCCTGAAACCTCAGAATGATCAAGAAGCACTTAGCTGATCAGTATGATTACAGTTTCCTGAAACCTCAGAATGATCAAGAAGCACTTAGCTGATCAGTATGGTTACAGTTTCCTGAAACCTCAGAATGATCAAGAAGCACTTAGCTGATCAGTATGGTTACAGTTTCCTGAAACCTCAGAATGATCAAGAAGCACTTAGCTGATCAGTATGGTTACAGTTTCCTGAAACGTCAGGATGATCAAGAAGCACTTAGCTGATCAGTATGATTACAGTTTCCTGAAACCTCAGTATGATCAAGAAGCACTTAGCTGATCAGTATGATTACAGTTTCCTGAAACCTCAGTACGATCATGAAGCGCTTAAATCAAGTGATTTGTATCTGTGTATCTTTTGTTGTCAGTTATGAAACACATTCGATCAGAAATGAGCCAATTATTAAAGTTTTGTATTAAAACTGTAAATTCGAAACTTTTAAAATAGTCTTTGTAATGTACTTGATGATTTAGTTTCATGAGTCGCCCTTAAACAGCAGTTTAATTGGTGTTTTATACGTTTTTTCTTGGTTGTTTTACTAGCTAACGATTTTCTGAATATCCTACAAATATAAAGGAGTTTGTTCGTTATAATGAGTTTCAGAACTACAGGAGCACTTCCAAACGTCAGCTGCCTAAAATATTGACTCCATCAATTCAACTTAAACCACATAGATGGTGAAACTTGTGAACGTGTACGCTTATCGGACCGATAAAATATATACTTGACTTTGATATTAAGAAACAAGTACCAACCTACCAATGATTTTGTTATTAAGATATCTTGTAACAAACAAACTAGAAAACAAAATTCGAGATATTTTTACGGATGTTTTACATTGTGAATTACAACGGTGAAGCATATTTTACATAAGTTCTGTGCGTAAATCTTGTGAAAATAACTTATGCTATTTCTTCTAAATAGCGTAGATGAGTAGTTGCAATAGTTAACCAAAATATTTTATAACTTTCACTCTTAACTCATATTACAATCCTCTTGTAGAACTTCCAGACAACACTCTCTGAGTTATCATTCGACTGTTACTTTGACTTATTAGTCAAAACATTACTCAAAACTGTTTCTACTGCTTTCTAAGCTTTTTCAAACATAAATTAAAGCTAAATACGTCATTGTAACGAAACTGTTTCACTTTTTTCTTATTAATCTTATAGAGAAAGGAAAACATAAGCATACTAAATAAAACTCATATGTTGCGGTTTTTGATTTATGAATCTATTATCTCTGAAAGTTTACAGGCTGATATGATATTATATATCAAATAGTTATATCTAAATCTACAAATTCTAAACTTTGAGCACGTTATTCGTGTACAGGATCTTTTAAAAATAAAGCATATTTTCAGCTAATAAGTTGTCGGATGTATCATTAATGAGAAATAAAAGACGTCCTTATGTATTACGGTGAACGATAGCCTGCGGCTTAGCTACTTTAATTTCAAGTTAAAGACAACGACGAAGACTGAGCAAATATAAATTAGAAATTCTATATGTGTTATTTATCTAGCTAGATGGATCTCTGTTTAAACTAGCTTTGTTTTCGTTTTTTTTTTTCTTTTGCACTCTGTCACTTTGATCATCTTAAATTTCTCGTACGCCTATTTGAGCGCTTAAGTCTCGTCTCCATATAAACCATTAATTTGATGCATGGTAGATAAGTGAGAAAATAGTATGTTCGTAGAGATAAAAATATCTGTTATCTACCATCTTTGTATGAAGCCTGTATATCTTATACATCACTAACCACATTTTTCTTGAAATACTTTTCTTGCCAACACACACACAAAGAGCTCCAGAAGTCACGTTAAGACTCGTCAGCAATCAATTGAAAGCAGTAAAGTAAGTCCCTCTAGACTTACAAGTTCCGTTTTCCAACCACTTGTACCTGTAGCGATTCATAAATATTCACTCTAATGTCGATATCATTAGCGATTGTGAATGAATCATTCATTGTGTTTGTCTCGTTACTAAGAGATAGTAAAGCGTGAGCTGTAGCCTTTTCTAAGCTTCTTAGAGATTCTACGTTGATTGCAGTAATGATAAAAATCATGTGATTTCTATCGTTATATTAGCGCAATAACTAAATCAAAAAACAACGAAAATTTAAAGCGTTGAACAAAAAGACGTTATTAATAATAGCCATTAATAATCACTCCTTTTTTCATATACACCTACGTTATATTTTTGCTAAACCGTTCCTCTTTTCGTGAATATATATATAAAAATAAATACGTGTGTTTTTAATGTAATTAAAAGCTTAAGACGAACAACACGTGTTTACAGGAAATAATAATCAAATATCTTAAATAGATGTTCGTATACTGATACATTAAATCAGTAATCTAATAGCACGATACATGTATTTGAAAAAATTTTGTATATTAATTCAATCGTTACAACAAGATTGCTGAAGGTGATTTTAAATGATTGACTGACGTTTTGAGGACACGTTTATCCTCAATCATGGTTATAGAAAACAAAGTACACTTAAACGGCCTGATTTAACGTAGTTATCCACAACGACATTTACCGGTATTTGGATACTAATAGAACTAAATGATAGGTAATTACAACATAAGCAAATATATGACGTCACTGACATTGGCTGCATAACATGGATATATACTGTTATTCTGAAACAAAGTTTAGCTTGTTAACGTGTGTAATATTAGATAGACCTCTGATACAATATATTCAAAGAACTTATTAACATAATAACAGTCAAACCTGTCTTCTTCAGGGGCAAACTAAGAATGGTTTGCCCCTGAAGAAGAAAGGTCCACCTTTCGAAAGCACTCGGGTTATAGGGTTTTTATTCATTTCTATCAAGATTTCTTGAACCGAAGTGTTTTTATAATATCATAGTTCAGTAAAACATATGATAGGCTCCTTCCAGTTAAATTAATTAATAAATTAATTTTTATTCTTATCGAAATTTGTTTTGATTATTAAAAAGTAAAACTATTTTACTCTTTTTTACATAGGGAATAAATATATAGTTCAAAAGAGCAGCATGAGAAATTAATTTTGATTAGAAAGAAGGACTTTTCTATGCTAACGAAACAAGCTGCTTGGACTTATAATTATATGCGTGCGTACAAAGCATCATCAGAATAGGTCGAACCGTCCGGAAGTTATGACGTAACACATCCATTCAATCCCATTCTCTGGAGTTAGGGGCAAAATATAACAACATTACAACAGCTGAGTCAACTTTCTGCTGTGTTTAGAATGTCACATT